CATGTCCGCTAGGAGGACGGCACCGCACAGTTCCAAGCGCGGCAGTGACACCGTCTTGACTGGCGCCACCCTGGTCTTGGATACCAGGAGATGGACCTGCACTTGCCTGTGCGTCTCGACGCGCAAGTAGATGGCCGCCCCGTATGCCTGCTGCGATGCGTCACAAAAACCGTGGTATTGAAACGTACCTTGTGGGCGAAAATGAATCCACCGTGGGATCCGGATCCGGTCTAGCGTGGGATAACTCCGCAGGAACTCGTTCCACCTCTGCTGCAGCTCGGAGGGGAGCGGATCATCCCATCCGATTCCGCTGAGCCAGATTTCTTGCATAAAAATCTTGGAACGGACAATAATTGGCGCCAGCCATCCGGCGGGATCGAACAGCCTGGAAATCTGGGCCAGGACCTCCCGTTTGGTGAATGAGGACCCTTCCTCCAAAGCGGATGCGATGAACAGGAACTCATCGTCGGTGGCCTTCCAGCGGATGCCCAGCGTCTTAGTCATGCTGGCATCCTCAATGTCTAAGAAGTCGGCGCGCAGCAGATGCTCTGGTGGGATGCCGCGAAGAATGTCCTTGTTGTTGGCGACCCACTTGCGCAGTGGGAAACCTGCTGCGCTGAAAGCCGCTCGTATCTCTCGTATGGATGAGAGTGCTTCCTGCTTCGTATGTGCTCCGGCCAGGACGTCATCCACATACATGAAGTCCGTGAGGACCCGGCTGGCGAGCGGATACTGCGCCTTGGAGTCTTCGGCAAGCTGCAGGAGCACGCGGATGGCCAGGAAAGGCGCACAGTTCACCCCGAAAGTGACTGTTTGGAGCTCGAAATCCCGCAAGTCACCGGCCGGATCGCGGAACAGGATTCTCTGGAACCGGGTATGTGCGGGGTCGACCAGAATCTGCCGATACATCTTAGTGATGTCGGCACTGAAAACGTGCTGGAAAAAACGCCACTTCAACACCTGTAAAGTCAGGTCGGCCTGTAGGACGGGCCCCGTGTGAAGTACGTCGTTTAAGCTGTTCCCGTTGGACGACGGGCAGGATGCGTTGAAGACCACGCGGACCTTGGTCGTGGTGCTGTCCGGCTTCAGCACCGCGTGATGGGGCAGGTAAAAATTGGCGTTGTCCGTTGGAGGAGGGACAGGGCGCATGTGCCCTAAGTCGAGATACTCGTTGATGACTGCGTCATACTGCTCCTTCAACGAAACGTTCCTAAGCAGCCGAGCCTCGTTCTTGAGGAACTGGGCCATCGCGATGGATCTAGAATGGCCCAGTTGAATGTCCTGGGGGTCCTTGAAAGGCAGCGAGACCGTGTATCTGCCATCCGGCCGCCGGCTGGTGGTCTGGACGAAAAGCTGTTCGCACACTGCGCCCGCTTCCTTCTCGCAACTCACCGGGATGTCCTCCACCTCCCAGAACTTGGTGAGCAGCTGATCCAAGGATGGCTGTGTGCTTGCTGAAATGCGCGTGGTGAAGGAACGGATGGCCGTCTTCCTTGCCGCCGCTACTGGTCCGGTCAGAATCCATCCGAAAATGGTCTCCTGTGCCAGCAGCGAGCCGCAGACGTTTGGCCGGGTGCCGCCAAGCAGCACGGCAGGTAGTATGTCAGCGCCGATGAGCAAATCGATGGTGGCGCTTCGGAAAAAACACGGGTCTGCCAACGGCAGGTCAGGAAGATCTCTCAAGGTTTCGCTGGATATGGGAAACGATGGCAGGGCGCCTGCCAGTTGCGGCAGCACGTATGCCGCCGTCTCGACTTCGCGCCTCGGTTGTGAGGAAGATGCCAGCTTGACACTGCACACCTTGGTCGCGAGCCCAGATGTGGTCGCGTTCAGCCCCGATACCTGGGCCTGCACCTTCTGGAACGGCAGCCGAAGAGATCTGCGTAGGCGTTCTGAAACGAAAGTTCCCTCGGAGCCAGAGTCGATGAGCGCACGCGCGGCGTAGACGCTACCCAAATGGAGCACGTTCACTATAGCCGTGCCGAGGAGGACGCCCTGAACGCTGCTGCTGAAATAGCTCTGAACATTCGACGAAGTGGACTGTAATGGATTGCAATGTGGAGGGGGAACTGATGCTGAGGGCGCCGATGGAAGGGAGGGGCCACGGTGTAGGAGAGTGTGGTGGCGCCCCTTGCACGTAGCGCAGTTGTACTGGCTTGTGCAAGCGTTTAGTTGGTGCCCTCGGGCGAAACAATTCATGCAAAGCTTCTGATTCTTGATCACCTTGCATCGGTCCTTGACCGACATCTGCAGAAAACGCGGACACAGGCGCACGGGGTGGTTCTCCTTCGAGCAAAGATTACAGGTCTGCGGACTGTTGCGGACCTTCGTCTCGAAAGAGTTGACTCTCCTCGCAGCCGGCTCCTTTTGAGCTGGCTTTGGAACGCGGGTGCGGAGGCCCAGGGTCGCATCATTTATCGCTTCCAATGTGCGATAGCTATCCGAGAGGAACTGATTCATGTCGCTCCAGGGCGGAATTTCGGACTTGTCCTTTACCGACTGCTCCCATAAGGAAAGGGTAGCTGGAGGAAGCTTGGTGGCGCAGAAAAACACCAAAAGGCAATCCCAGTCCTGGGTGCCAATCTTGGCATTCTGGACAGCCGTTAAGCACCCTTGGATTGTGCTCTGGAGCTCCTTGATGGCGATGCCACACTCCGAAAGAATAGGCTGGAGGTTGGCGAGGACCTTGAGCTGACTGTTGACCAACAATCGCTTGTTTTCGAAACGCTCAGTTAGGTTTTTCCAAGCTGAGGCGAAACCGTCGTTGGTCAGTGGGGAATTACGCACGATGTCCTTCGCTTCGCCGCGAGTTTTGGAGAGGAGGTGGTAAAGTTTTTCCACCTCTGTCAACCGCTGGTTGCGAATGTACAACGCGGTGAAGAGGTCCCTGAACGTGGGCCACTTCAGGTAGTCGCCAGTGAAAACCTCGGTGTCCACTGGCGGAAGGATACAGCCCCTGACTGGGGGCTCGGGACTTGGAGCGGGAGCGCTGCTCCGCGCGGACGCGTCTTGTATCCGCGTGGTGAGCTGAGTGGCGCACCGCTCATAGACGCGGTAGCAGTGATCATACTTCATCTGTAAGGCCTGCTTGTCGGAATCGCTGGACTCTGATTGGCTCAGAGCCCGGAAACAGCGCCGACGCTCTTGCTGAACCTGTTCCCACAGGGCTTTGACTTGGTCCAGTTGGATCTGCTGCGTGACAAGTGTCACGGCTGGGTCGGACGAAGAAACTAGTGCCTCAAAATGGCACAGGTCATCGCTGACCGAAATGAATTCGTCCAACACCATTTCGATCGTTTTGGAAGCGATCCGAACAGCTGCTCGAGTAGACGGAACGGGTTTCGCAATTCTGGGCACCCTCACAGAGAGCTGTGGCGAACAGCTGGTCTTCCTTGGAGAAGGAGACGAAAAAGCGTTCACGGACAAATGTGATTTGGGGCTGCCCTTCTTGGCGGTGGAAGGCGAAGGTTTTTTCAACAACAAGCGTGAACCCGGACTGCTCCTCTTGGAGGTAGAGGGCGAAACCTTCTTCAACGACGACGGTGGTTTCGGAATAACCCCTTTTGACGTCGACGGCGAAACTGTTTTTACAAGGGACGGTGTCGGAACCGAACTGGATTGCGCGTCAGAAGAAGGAACGGCCAAACGCTGAGAAGTGGATGGGGCGACCGAGGTAGACGGATGGACTAAATGCTTCTTCGTGTCCTCCTCGCCTTCACTGGGCATACTAGGCTCTCACACGAGCCTGCTAGAGTGGGCCCACTTGAGGCAGGTCGGGTATGAGTCCGCCGGAAAACGGCGTTGCTGACCGCTTATGGCGCGCAAAATTCTGCGACAAGTTTTATTAACTGGCTTATGCTAGCTGGAGGTGCTGAAACCTTGTCGGACACAAGGTCACAAGAATATGTGTAGCCACCGAAATAAAAGAGAAAATGGATTTCGTTTTTTTCTCTATGTTCGTTTTATTAAAATTAATTAAACACCGCGGCAGCAATAAATATATGTGCAATTAAGTTGCTGGACAGCTGCAGGCGGTGATATGCGACGAAGAATCCAAAAAAACCAACAAAAAAAACCCAAAAAATAAATATAAATTAAAGCTGGATAAAATAACTGCCAGCTAGAGGTGCTGGAAAGGTTCGGGAAAAAGTCCACAAGGATATGTGTATTCACCGAAAAAATTTGGATTTATTTTTATTTGATTTTATTAAAGTTGCTGAAAAATCGCAGCAAAAACTACACGCAATTACGTTGATGGAGAAAGACCAGCTGGAGGCGCTGGTATGCGACAAGGAATCCCAAAGAAACATAAAAAAAACAATAATAAATTTTATTTAATTTATTAAGTTACTTTTTGGGATAAAGTAACTGTATTTAATTTTATTAAGTGATTTCCGGGATAGCGGACCGCCAGTAGCAATTGGTCACAGTGATTATCGAAATTAATAATTCAGCTGTGACTCGTTACCGTGACCAAGTTTCTGGTCACACTCCAACTTCGATGATTGTAGCTTCCGATAACTGATTTTACACAAGTGTCATCACTTGTTTACCTTTAATGGGTAAGTAAAAATTTTAAGTGCAAAAACGCAATATGTTTTAATTTTCGCACAAGCGCCGACGCTGGATATCGCGCGGGCTATAAGGAATACCAACTGGAGTGTTGGCACGTAGCGGGGAGTCGTGGACCGACCGGTGAGTGTATAGGATTGTGTTAGTAATTAAATATATGAGTGTAAATATGTTTGTGTGTAAATATTATGGTTCGTATATTTAGTGCATGCAGATGTGTTTATAGCGGACTCAAATGTATATAGATATATATATGTATATATATATATATATATCAGCGTATGCGGACGTACGTTTGTTTCCGCTGCCGATATATGAAAACGTGTATAGATTTATACGCAGCGGCTGTATATATGTGTATGTGCATATGTTAAAATATGTCTCTTGTATAATGTGCATGTATGTATATAAAGTGCATGTATATAAGCATATGTGGAAATATGTTTATTGTGTAATGTGCATGTATATAAAGTGCATGTATATAAGCATATGTGGAAATATGTCTATTGTGTGACGGACCATGCAAAAACTATGTGGTGTGAATTGTGCATTAGGAACGTGCAGGTAAAACAGGTGTGTTTCCCACTGGACACTTGTTGCATATGGGAAAGAATATGCGCAAGTATGCCAAGATGCAAACGCAAACGGACGGAGTTCGGGTTGAACCTGCTAATTGTTGCACTTCACTTTTCGTTTAAGCGGACCAGCGCGGTACCGGCGTTAGACGAGATGAGGCCCTTGGATAAGGGACGGACAGCGGGATGCTGTTCCGTTGTGGGGGTCGGCGGACAGACCGACAGTGAACAAATATGGCGTAAGTATCGCGCCACAAGTAAATAGTTTACTTAGCTGCTTCTCCTCGCAGGTATCCAACGCCAGGAACAAGCTGGGGCGAACGGTCGTAGGCTGCACAGGACTTGGAAGGAACAGGAGGTGCACCTGAAGATCCGGCTCGAAGGACAATGTTGGCGTGGGGCGTTGGGGGTGAAAGTCCAAAAACCGCAAGGGAAGTAAAATGGCGTCTGCTTTCCTTTTCACTGTGACGTGACTCGCACGTATATATATATTCTTCACTTGTATGACAATTTGAAACTAAACTTAACCTAATTGCAGTGGCGCTTAGCTGCCCATATGAAAGAGGGAGAGGCCGCCGACGCTAGCAGCGCTCTGCCAGCAGATGTTGCTGGCAAGCGTTGCCATGTCAACACTGGCAGAGTGCTGCCACATCAACACTTGCTTTGGTTTTTCTCCTGCTCCGGGACTTTTATCACCCCATCTCACCCCATAAATGGACTCTACTCCAGATTCATATTCAAATTTTAAATTTTATTACAATAAAACAAGTAAAAAAGCTAAAGTCGGGTGTCCCGACTTTGAAATACTCTGTACATATGTTTACAATAATTATAGAAAATAAAAAAAATTAAGAAAATAAAAAAAAATTCTATTATCGATTTTACCTTTCTCGGTATTCGAACTCACGTAAAGGGTGTATAATTGCACATTTACATAGCAAATACGTCTGTGTGAGTGTATGTATGCCTATGCGCATCTATTCGTGTCTGTGTAAGCATTTTCGCAGTCAACCAAACAGCAACATCAACAACAGCCGCGGGCAGCGCTGCAGCACCAAATATATTTATGGCTATAACTTCTTGGTAAATCGGGGTATCATAGTGAAACTTGGCATACGGACACATAATTACTAACTTGGGGTATTTGCAAAATTTTAGTTCGAAATTCCAAGAATTACGGGAGTTAGAGAAAATCGCATTTGCGGGGGAGAGGGGGGAGGAAGGGAAATTCCAAAATATACATTTTCTGCGTATTCACACAAGGCACCTTGGACTAAAATTTGGTGTTCCTAGGTCTTATGGTCTCCGAGATATAGGCGATTATACGAATGGAAAATCGGGAAAACCCCCATAGGGGGGAAGTGGGGGGGAAAATCAAAAAAAAAAAACAAACTCGTATAGAATACACACATAACGCATCTTTGTGGAAAATTTGGTGTCTCTATCTCTTATAGTCTCTGAGATCCAGGTGTTCATACGGACGGACAGACAGACAGACAGGGCTAGATCGACTCGTCTTGTCACGCTGATCAAGAATATATATACTTTGTGGGGTCTGCCACGCCTCCTTCTGCCTGTTACATTTTTCAGCTCCCGCAAACCTAATATACTCTTGTACATTTCATGTACAGAGTATAAATAGACTTTTACACTTAAGCCATTGAGTTTTGGGACGCTGCAGTTCGTTGGCTCTTTGTGCCTATTTTACTTATTTGAATTCCTAACCTCTTTCTACCTATACTCGAGTATGTGGTTACGAGGGATATTATTAACAGGAGATAAACAAAAATAAAAAGTGCGCCGCTCCAATACACATTACAACCTCCTTTACTTATATTAGATTTTATACATTTTTCTTTTACTTTTTTTTTGTTTTTTTTTCTTAAGTATACATTTGAATTTTTGTTTACAATATGGTTACTTGTTTGGTGTTGTGTTTCTGTTTAATGTTTTATATTATGTTGTGATCGTTTGGGCTATGTGTGTAACAGAAAATTGTTAATTGTTTTGTGTGTTGTATTGTTATGTGACTTGTATATGAATGGGTGTGTATTTTGAATTTTGTCTATGGCATACATGTGTATTTTCTTTTGGTGTTGTATATTGGAGTTTGCTGTATATAAATGGACTATGTAGGGGTGGGCTTTATATAATTATGGGCTTTATATTAAATGGATTATGTGCGTATGGTTGTATATAATTATGGTATTTGCTTGAATGGTACATATGCGTGGGTTTATGGATCGAATATGTATGAGTATGTGGTGTATATAATTTTAAATTGTCTCAGTGGGAGTATTCATATAAACTTAGATTCTAAAGGGGGTACTTAGCCCAGAATCAGTCTCTCGCTTCCAGCACGCAGTTCCTCCGGTACACCCTGTCCGCTTTGGCGGCTTGTCTCGTAGAACGTTGGCGACTTGCCTCTTCGTACGTTGGCGACTTGCCCCCACTCTCTTTCCCTTAGCCTGGTGGACTGAATAAAGCACCATTAGTACTTGCGCCTGGTTCATTTTCTGTGCCCCTTACCTCGTCTGTCTTTGCGCTCTGCTCCTTTTCCTCTGCGTGTACAACCTGGGTCTAAACTCTCCTTTTCCCCTTTCCTGGATCTCCAATTTGCACCACTTATGTATATATTTTCGGTCACTTTCAACACTTTTCTGCGCCTGAAAATTTTCTGCATGTCACTTCCTTCACTTTCGCTTTCCTTCTGCCCTTGACAAAGGGCACGGCCTGCCACTCTTCATGGAACCGATAATTTCCCTTCTCCCCGATGCTACTTTCCCCACTTTGCAACCCTCCTAATTGGTAGCACTGGTATCGGCCCGCGCCAGCTGTCAATCGCGCGAGTTGCCATCCCCTTTGTCCGACGCCATTTGTGGTTTGCCAATACTGTCGCGTCGCACGTAACACCACACTCCGGTTTTATTTTGGTGTCAAAGGAAAGAAACGGGTGTGGAAAGCGCCGCGGTTCCTTTTCTGCCCAACGTAGGCCAACGCCCACACCCTGAGATGGGTCTCTCGGTCTACCGACGAACAAAGCCGGGCCTTTGCTATTGTTTCAAATCTTTGGCGTGGAAGACTCCAATTCGTACAGGCTGTTGCCCACGCTGCTCCGGACACGGCATTTCACATACTTGAGGCACAGCTTCGTGTTCACGTTGTCCTTAAAACGACTGAGGACAAAGTTTCGCCTGTAAATCTCTTGGCCAGGTACGTACGCAATCATCCTCGCACGCTTATCGTATTGCCGTTTCGCCTTTTCATACGCCAGGTGGACACTCTGCTGTACCTTATCCCGCACTGCCTTCTGCTGATCCGATCTGGGCAACATGCGCAATTCTGTATCCTCCAGTGCTCCCAACTTGCGTGCCAGCTTGTAGTCCTTCCCGCTGGTGAACATGTGCTGTCCAAACAAAACGAAGTATGGGGACGTGCCAATGCTGCTATGGATGGCACTACGTGCTGCACACTGCACATCCGAGAGCTTCTCGTCCCACTTCGTGTGGTCGCCCTGTACATACGTCCTGATGGCCGCTAGCACCGTCTGGTTCACGCGTTCCGCCGCATTCGCCTGTGGGTCACAGTTCGCCGTGCGTACGTGGGTGATGCTCAGCCCCTGTAAGAACCCCGTAAACTGGCTGGACACAAATTGCTTCCCGTTGTCGGTATGGACGGTTTCCGGGACTCCAAATGCAGAAAACACCTCCTCCTCCTGCAGAAACCGGACCACTGCCGCCGCTGTTGCTTTTGCATCGCTCGCAACCACACGAATTTGGACATATGGTCTAGAATTACCAGGATGGTGGTATTCCCTCTCCTGGACCTCGGATACGGCCCCAGAAAATCTAGATATAGCCTCTGCATAGGTCGAAGCGATACGGTTTCGGCACCCATCACCGGCCTCGCTAATTGCGTGCTGTGTTTTGTCGCTTTGCACGTCTCGCAACCGGCCACGTACCTCTTCACCTGTGCCATCACCCCGGGCCAGAAGAAGAACTGCCGGAGCCGTTCTATGGTCCTCTTTATGCCTCCATGCATGGCCGCGTCGCTCTCATGGGCCTGCTGTATAAGGGCTGCGGACACAGAACGCGGTACCCAGAGCTTCCAGGAAAATTCCTCTCGCTCGGGCCGCGTGAACTGCGCCCGCTTATACAACAGCCCATCCTCCACGCGCAAATCCGGAAATAGTTCCGCGCTTTCCTGCACCTGTTTCGGTGTACTCCGCACTTTCGAGCTCGGTGGTCTCGAAATCAAAAAAATCAATTTCCTCGAGTTCGAAAGGCCGCGAGAGCGTATCGGCTACAATGTTATCCTGGCCTTTCCGATGCTCAATAGTAAAGTCAAAACTTTGCAGGGCCAGCGACCACCGCGCTAATCGGCCGTCCAACTCCTTCAACGACATCAGCCACAGCAGGCTGGCGTGATCAGTCCCCACCTTGAACGGCATCAACTCAACGTACGGCCGGAATCTTTCGACCGCTTTTACCGCAGCCAGGCATTCCTTCTCGGTGACACTATAGTTCAGCTGAGCGCCCCGAAGCTTCGCTGAAAAGAAAGCTATTGGCCTTTCCGCCCCGTCTGGAACAAAACCGCTCCTATGCCCGCTTGGCTCGCGTCACATTGGATCACGAACGGCTTCCGAAAGTCTGGATGCACCAACACTGGCGCGCAGGCGCCCCTTTCAACTCCTGGAATGCCGCAATCGCTTCGCCTGATAACTGGAACCCTCCCTTCCCTTTCAGGCAGTCCGTTAACGGCGCGGAAATCGTGGAAAAATTCCGTATGAAACGCCTATACCAGCCCGCGGTCCCCAAGAATCGGCGAAGCTGCTTCGCGCTGGTCGCCCGAATCGCCTCGACTTTCTCCGGGTCAGTCCGCAACGCACCATCGCCAACCACAAACCCCAAATACTTCAAGTACCTGTAGCAGAACTTGGATTTTTTTAAGGAAATCGTCAAGTTGGCTACTCTGAAGGCACTCGCTACGTCCAACAGCCCCTTGCAATGATCCTCAAATGTTCTGGATATTATGAGAAGGTCGTCAAGGTAGACGAATACATGGCTTCTCAAACGCTGGGGAATCACCTTATCCATCACACGGCAAAGGCGCTGCGCCGCATTGCATAGCCCAAACGGCATGGCCTTAAATTGGTACAGTGGCCTTCCTGGTACCGTAAACGCGGTGTACTGCCGGCTTTCCCGATCCAGCTCGATCTGCCGAAAAGCATGCTTTAAATCCAGGCTGCTGATGTAAACGGTATCCTCCACTCGGCTCAAAATCGACTCAATGCTCTGAAGTGGGTAAGCGTCCTTCACCGTGAGCTGATTTAGCTTTCTCGCGTCTAAGCACAACCGGTTCTTTCCAGGCTTCCTCACCAAAGTCACTCGGTTGCTCCATGGACTCTCACTTGGCTCGATCACCCCTAGCCGAAGAATCTCGTCGACTTCTGCAAACAATAGCGTCTGCCCCGCCGGCGACACGGGATAAAAACGCTCTTTCACTGGCAGTGCCCCCTCCGTCAACTGAATGTGGTGCTGTCACCTTAATAAGGTCATAATCCGAAAATGGACACACCAACCGAGAACGCAACACCAACATCGCCTGAATATACTCCTCAATGGTCTCGCCATGCCGCTGCTTCCGCTCCCTCAGCTCCTGCTCTCGTTCAAACTCCGATCTTCGAGTCTGGAATTGCTGCTGCAGCCCATACCGGAGATTCGGCCAGTCCGGCACGCCCGAGGTACGTATGTACATCCAATACCAATCTTTCGCTCTTCCGTTCACCAGGCAGTGGAAGTCTCGCAACACGTCGGCCCAGGGCACCTGATACAAGGA